TTGTACATTTATGCCACCAGATATCTCTACCAGTGTGAAACACTAATTGACAGATAACTCGTTAAACAATTACTAAGAGAGCATAAAATCTGTGTATTTTGGTACTGCCCAGTAGGTATTTTATGAGGGTAAAATTGAGGAGAGTTGTCACTTCCAACATTTCTGAGAAGTGGAGCTCATCCCTCAACTTCTACACCTCTTGGTGCAGAAGTGCCATTATTGCTTGAAAGAGCTTCAGGTAGGAGCTTGCTTGAATTATCATCTCTTCAGTTCAGCTTTTGCTGAAAGGCAATGGATTGGGCCAGCCTTGTTCCTGTGGGCTTATTGTTCATCCTAATTCTCCTGCTGAGTTTGAAAACACCACGTTTCTGGAGGAGCCAAGTGAAATTCCCCCCAGGACCGCAGCCTTTACCCATCATTGGAAATCTGCACATGATGGACCTAAAGAAACTTGGCCAGACAATGCTACAGGTAACTTCTGTTGTTCCTTTCCTTAGAGCTCTCACTCCAAGTCTGTCACTGACTTCTTGAAAGGGATACAGAGATCTCAAGGCATGGAAATTGCAAACACAACAGTATTATTCTTTGCAGTGGCTTCTCTCCCTACTGTGTAGTGCAGAGCAATTGGCTTCCAACCACGTTATCGAGGGAACTGAGCTAATTCTGTGGAACAGAGGAAATGTTAGCACTCTTCAGGCAAGGGTAACAACAAGAGAGGGATCCCGGATCTCTCATAATTACAGAAACTTCACCAGGGACTGCAGAAACAGCTAGGGAAGGGACCAGAGCTTTTTGAAAGCTGTTTGCTGGACTCAGTCACCAGGAAACTGGCAAACAAACTTTTGATCCTCTCTCTTGATGGAAAAACTTTCTGGTTTCCCAGAGCAAACTAGGAAAAAAACCTCACTGCTTATTCTTTTGTACCTTGTAGCAGGAAAGTCAGGGCTCTTGGGATGATCGTGTTTAGCAGTCAGATATTTCAGGATTTGCGCATCCCTTGCTGAGCTATCCCTCAAAGCCATGAACAGCAAACATAAGGGTTTCTGGCAGTTCCCGTGCCTTGATGTATTACCAGCTTGGAAATCAATCTCATTTTGGTTAGCTATGCATTTCCAATGAGTGACAGAATCAGTGTCGTGGACATTATTAGGCCCACTGAAAATCTTTTATTCAAATACCCAATTAAGGATTACAGATCCTCTCGTGATTCTTTTAAATCACAGAAGCTCCAACACTTGCAGCATGAATTCCCAACATTTTGGACAGCAGATGCAAAGCCAGTGCCATGTGGGAACAAGAACATTGAACCTGCTGAATAACAAGTGCTTTTTGCTTTGCTGAACATCATCCTCTGCCTCTTTCTTTTCATTCTACTAGTTTTCTGAAACGTATGGCCCAGTCTTCACAGTTCAGCTGGGACTGAGGAAAGTGGTGGTGCTGTCAGGATATGACACAGTGAAGGAAGCTTTGGTGAATCATGCAGATGCATTTGCTGGGAGGCCTAAAATACCAATCATAGAAGAAACAGCAAAAGGAAAAGGTGAGTGGGCCATTCTCACATTTTCTGTCCCCGTCCTTTTCAAGAGGCGCAGGTGAAAGGGAAGCATGATGAACCTGACGAACCTCAGCAGTCCATCAGTGTGAAACCATCACAGAGTGCATGAAGACTCTTGGCTTAAACTGTTGTGTATGTGTTTTAATTTTCCATTTCAGGAGTTGTATTTTCTCGTGGAGAAAACTGGAAAGTGATGCGAAGATTTACTCTTACAACCTTACGAGACTTTGGGATGGGAAAGAAGGCCATAGAAGATCATATTGTAGAAGAGTACGGATACCTGGCAGACGTAATTGAGTCACAGAAAGGTAGGGAGATTCTTAATTTGATAGCATGTACCTGACTTTTCTCTGAAAGCATTTTCAGGAATACCAAAGGATGAAGGAAGAAGAGATACATCATTCTCCACTATCAGTGCTGTGATGAGTACACATGAGTTGTGTCTGTCTCCTTGTACCTCTACCTGGCAATTGCCTGGTGTGTAAATGAAAACTTTTATTGAAGCACTGGAAGACAAACACGGAGTTCAATTCAAAACAGTCCAGTTGAGGAAAAGGCCTTATTATGCCACGTGCAGCACCTCCATAAAGGACAGACTTGGACTCGGGAGAAAAGTAGAAGGCAATTGCAGGGTTGCACATATCTAGACTGAAAAATGGATTGCCCGTCGAGGCATATGTCTGGAAAGCACCTTCCAGTAGAAGACAGAAGATTCCTTTATACATTTCTCCAGCATCATCCAGGGCTATTTGTCACTAGGTTAGTTACCAACAGCAGCACTTAGAATGGAATCACAGACTGATGGAGTGGCCTGGGTTGGAAGGAACCTCTACAGACGATCTAGTCCAGGTTCCCTGGGAAATGTAGGAAAACCTTCCACTAGATCAGGTTGCTCAGAACCTCCATCCAGCCTGGCCTCGAGTTCCTCCAGTGATGGCACCCACAACTTCTCCAGGCGTCCTGCTCCACTGCCTCATCAGCCTCATTGTGAAGAATCCCTTCTTTATGTCCACTACCCTGTTTCCATGTTAAAACACTACTTCTTGTCCTATCACTACATCCCCTTTTACAGAATCTCCCTCCATCTTTCTTACAAGCCAACTCTCTGCCTATCATTTCCCAGACTTCAATGGGGCTCTACCCGCTATCGTGGCATTTTAATTGATGGCAATAACCATTGATTGTGTTGTTTGCATCATCTTTTCCTTTGCTAGGGAAGCCCCTTGAGACGACAGAGCTGATGAATTCTGCTATTGCTAATATCATTGTGTCCATATTGCTTGGAAAGCGTTTTGACTACGAAGACCCCACATTCAAAAGACTTATGTCATTGATGAATGAAAATATGAAGCTTTTTGGAAGTCCATCAGTGTCGGTAATTGATCTGGTTGAATGTTTCTCTTCAAAATCATGCACAACACAGAGTGATAACAGTGCATCTACCCCCAATCACTGACATTCATCTCTCTGTATGTGACAAATGCATCCTGAAGTGGCAGGAAACAGACCTTTGGTACTACATACGGGTTTCTCTTAGTCTGGGCGAGTGTAACTTAAATTCATGAAGAAGAATTGAAGAGCATGCTACACAAAAAAAAGGAAAGTGTTCCCAGGTGATAGAAGTTGCCCTTCATTTCCTATCTCCCATACAAAGAACAGTGTCAAAACTGTGGAAATATCTGCAACTGTCTCTTAAATTGTAAGCATCTCTTGAGACACCCAACTCCAACCAAGCTGGAGAGGGAGGGATGAGAAATCTAAGAGTGGAGAGGTAGGAAATTATGTCTAAGACATACACATAAATATGGGATTTCTAGGCCATCAGCTAGTGTGATTTAGATATTAGAGAGAGTAAATTTTATCAATTTTACTTAGTTGGGTGGGGAAGAGATGAGTGAAGAGTGCTTTGTGACAAGATTATAAGGCTATATAATATTTTCTGTGCAGGGTTTTGTTGATAAGCACTGTTGAATAGTGGTACATCTACTTAGTAGCTGCTTTTTCTTCTTCTGCCTCTGTGCATCTTACAGCTGTACAATATGTTCCCCATCCTTGGATTCTTCCTGAAGGGCAAAAAAAATTTACTTGAGAATTCAAAAGAAGTCAACAATTTTATCAGGAACACTTTCACAAAGTATCTCAAAGTCCTGGACAGAAATGACCAGAGGAGCTTCATCGATGCTTTTCTTGTCAGACAACAAGAGGTAACGGAATGCCAGCAGCCTCCTCACGTCACCTTGCTTCTCTTTCAATGAATGCATGCATTCTTTGATATGCTCTGCTCCATGGCCCAGGGGAGAGAAAGCTTGTCTTCCTCACTTGGATAAACCCAGCGATTGCTCCCTGTACTTCAAAGTATTCTTGTTAACACTGAAATTAACCTTACTGTCTTTTCCAAAATTAAAACAGTGCTTCTTGACTATTTAACCGGCTGATTGTATTATTGTGTTATTTTTCCAGGAGAATGGAAAGGACAATAAATTTTTTGATGATGTCAACTTAACTGAGGTCGTGAGAAATCTGTTCATAGCTGGCATGGATACCACAGCCACCACTTTGCGCTGGGGCCTTCTGCTCATGATGAAATACCCTGAAATTCAGAGTAAGTGGAAACTGGGCTCTCAGTGGCTTTTTTCTCCTCAGGTCACCTTGCCCTGAACCAAAGCAGGGCTGAATAAAAAGCCAGTTCTCCTTATCCCACTATTCCTAGCAGAGGAAAGAGAGAGTTGAACAACGCATGCATGATCCATGTGCTCTTTTCAGAAAAAGTCCAGGAAGAGATAGATCAAGTGATCGGGTCAAACCTCCCAAGAACCGAGCACCGAACTAAAATGCCATACACAGATGCTGTTGTGCATGAGATTCAGAGGTTTGCTAATATCCTGCCGTTGAACTTGCCTCATGAGACGACCATGGATGTCACTATCAAAGGCCATTTCATTCCCAAGGTAACACACCAGCAGCACTTCTTTCCTTCCCTCTCTCTCCAATCGGACACCTCTTCCTTTCCAGACTGCCTTGCATCCAGGGATGCTCACTCACTGCAAGGTGCTCACAGCTACTTCAGCAGCAGCTACTCTGTTCATGTGATAACATGATCATTTGTTCATATGTTAAATTTCTTCAGTCCAGCATTCACCACCGCTCCCAGCAACACCACTGTTAGCGCAATCACTGCTCTACCTTGGTTTGCAGGGAACCTACGTCATCCCCTTGCTCAACTCTGTCCTGCGAGACAAAACCCAGTGGGAGAAACCATGCTCCTTCTACCCTGAGCATTTCCTCAACTCGGAGGGGAAGTTTGTAAAGAAGGATGCTTTCATGCCTTTTTCAGCAGGTATGTTCTATTCTGCTCTTTGGGCTCTGAACTGGGCATCTGCAATTCTCTCTTTCTCACAGAAGCTGATATGCCACACTCTTCCTAGCTGTTACCTCTCCTTCTCTCTCCACCTACATCTGCTAACTTGAATAGCCCAGCTTTACCCATGGACTCAGACTCTGAATTCACTCCCCTATGACATAAAGCCCCTCACAACTGAAAAACAAAAAAGGAATGAAAAGAAAAAAAGCACAGCTCCTATTGACTCTTACAGACCATTCTGCATTTCTTTGCAGGGCGGAGGATCTGTGCTGGTGAGACTCTTGCCAAAATGGAGCTCTTCCTTTTCTTCACACGCCTTCTGCAGAGGTTCACCTTCCAGCCTCCTCCTGGAGTTTCCCCCTCAGACCTGGATCTCTCTGCCACCACTAGGTTTGTCGTTGCCCCAGTCACTCATGAGGTCTGTGCAGTGTCACGTTCCTAGGGACTTTTATCAGCTGCCTTCTTTTCCTGGGACACTCAGATGAAATATCGTAGCTCACCTCTATTCCCACCACGGAAGTCTGGTACTTCTGAAGCTGGTAGGTGATTTCTTGCCCAGGCACACCTTGACTCGTAGCAAGAGGTGTGTCACCCACCATTCCAAAAGTTCGCAGTCCTGACCTTCTGCCACTCTCTGAATGACAAATTGATGGTCCCTGTGAGGACCAGTGAGTCCATTCTGCATGTTCCCCTCAAGGAAAGAGCCTGGGACCAGACTGTGCTGACTCTGTGGCCAGAGCTCATGGGGTGTTGCACACATGTCACGTACGCACACGGGGACTTTCACCTTCCTCCTCCAGCACAGCTGCACTCAGCTGCCCAGTGAAATGGTCCATTGCACATTTTGTCCCCACACCACTGCCCTGACTGTATGCAAAGACACACATAGAAATGTCACTGAACAGTTCAACGTGAGATGAGTGTAAGATGTTCACTACTGCAGAACTTTGGTGCAGTCACACAGAGGACTCATAGAGGACTGCATGCCATCTGGACATTGAAATTATTTTAATTTTCTATGGAATAATATATGTGCTAATAAAAATTAAAAAAACCCAGGAAAACAATAAATTCTCCATGTCAAATCAGACTGTGGCCAATGTTCTCTTCAAAACTGAACAGTTTTGCATCCGAAATGGAAACTCTCTGTTGAGAACAAACCAGGGCAGCACTTCCAGTAGGAACTGGGCAAGCCAGTGCTTCCATGGCACCAATTTGTCCCTTCCAACTTGTTTATTAAAGAGCCCTGCTGTAGCTTTTGAGTCAAAAGGGCATTTGAGAACTATCTAGTCTTCTTGAACTTTAGCAAAGCTTTCAACACCATTTGCCATAAGTTGTCCATCGTGAAGCTGATAAAGAGTGGGCTGGCTGTTGAGATAATGAGGTAGGTTTCAAATGGCTGAACAAACAGCCGTGTAGGATGGTAGGCAGTGGTGCCAAGTCTCGTTTGGGGCCAGTAGGACATAGGGGATCAACACTGTGTCCAGACTTCTTGAACAACTTCATTCATGATATAGATGAAGGAACAGAATGTAACCTCAGAAAAATTGCTGATGGCACAAAATTAAGAGGAGTGACTGATAAACCCGAGGATCTGGCTGTCATCCAGGGGGATATCAAATGGCTGGAGAAACAGGCTGACAAGTATCTCAAGAAGGTCAGCAAAGAAAAGGGCAAAGTCCTGCACCTGGGGAAGAACAAGACCATGAATCACTCACTCTATGCTGAAAAGCATCTTGGTAGAAAAGGTCCTGAGGGTCCTGATGGGCACCAAGCTCCACATGAGCCAGCAATGTGCTGTTGTAGAATCACATCATAGAATCATAGAATGGCCTGGGTTGAAAAGGACTTCAAAGATCATCCAGTTCCAACCCCTGCTGTGTGCAGGTCACCAACCAGCAGACCAGGCTGCCCAGAGCCACATCCAGCCTGACCTTGCATGCTTCCAGGGAGGGGGCATCCACAGCCTCCTTGGGCAACCTGTTCCAGTGTCTCACCACCCCCACAGTAAAGAATTTTGTCCTAATATCTAGTCTAAATCTACCCTCTTTCAGTTTGAAACCATTTCCCTTTCTCCTCTTGTCCTGAGACTTCTCACTCTCTTCTTGTAGCTTAAACATAGTATAGCTCAACAGTGCTGCTTTTCTATCATCAACTAGAATTTATTGCTAAGTGAGATTTAGAGCACTTCAGTGCATCATAGAATCATAGTGCTTAGTGCTTCTTGTTTGAATGATCTGACCATCAAAGTTATGGCTTAAAGCTCTGGCTCCTATCATTATTGATTTATGTATGAAGACACAGACAGTGAGGCTTAGAAGCAAGAATATCTGAAGTTGCCTCGCAAGGCTCCCTTACACTCAACAAAATGATAGCTCTAGAGTGCAGCTCATTTCAATCATTCCAGGTCTCTACTAGAGTTATGCTAATTAAGATTTAAAGAGTCTGCTTATTCCACACTGGTAACCATGGATGTTTAATTGCCTACCTCAAAGATAAAGCTCTATATTTTAAATACAATACACATACATAAAATGTTGTTAACTACACAGGTTTCCCAAAAAGCCTGTGGACTCTCCTCTTTGGAGATGTTCAAGAGCCTTCTGTAGATCACTGGGCAAGTAGTTCCAGGTGCTCCTGCATGAGGGAGGGGATTGGATCAGATGACTTGCAGAGGTCCCTGTCACTGTCAATGATTCCATGATTGTGTGCCTTGAAATTCCCAATCAATCCAATGAGAGCAAAGTTACAAAAGTGCCTAAGCACTTAGCAAAAATATCTCTGTGTATTAATCACTTGGGTGATGGCATTCTGATTTCAGCACTTAAGGTAACAAAGCTGTGCCTGTAACAAGGGTGAAAATCTAACTATCAGTAAGCTGAATGACATGCAGAATTCATGACTTTGATATCAAACAGCAGATTCATGACATCTGGGCTATCATTATTGAGCAATGATGGATGGTCACCCGATCACACAGGCTTGGTAAATATTTAACTGAATCTGTACCATACTGGTACTCATTAACAGGCACAGGGAAAGAGAACAAGCTAGTCACAAAGTGCAATACCCCTAACTGGAATAGAGGTTTATGGACTAGTGTTTCTTTTTTCTTTCTTTCTTTTTTTCCAAGAAGACAGAAATCCAGACTTTGCATTTTCTCTTGTCTCTTTTGTAGTAACACTCTGCTGAATAGAGATGGACTGGAGCAACTGCACGACCATGGCTTTAGTGTTCATCCTGACTTTTTTGTTCATTATGAAAATTGGAGGTGTCTGGAGTAACCACCAGAGAAAGAAGTTTCCCCCAGGACCAAGGGCCTTACCCATCATTGGAAACCTTCATTTGTTTGATTTGAAGAGACCCTACAGGACTTATCTACAGGTAGCCATTATCTTTTATGCTGGACTCAATGCTCGATCAAACGATCCCTGTGGATCGCTCCCAGGATATCCTATTCTATTCTTCAGGATATTCTATGATCCTATAGTTCACATAATCACACATAAGTGCATAGTCAAAGATGCCAGAGAATTTCCCTTCTCCTCAGTGATGATTTTAAATGAGATATTTGTACCTACATGTCTGCATGAATGTCACAACCACAGATTCGAAAGAACACTGAGATGCAGTTTTGGAAAATAATTTGCAGATATCCCATGCAATTTAACTGGCTTGGCAAAAGCAGGCTCCATCTCCTTTCAGGTCAATGGAACCACTATATTTTTGCTGTAATTGCTGTGTCTATTCTATCAGACAGCTGATCCCCCAACTTGAGCTCAGCTCAAGGCTTAGAATTCACACATATTCTGTGCATAAACACAACTGGGAAGCATATGTTCACCCTCAATGTCAACATTGCAAATGGCAGAAGGCTGTTAGTGAGGAAAACCCTCTGTAAAGATCAAATTCTGCTGCAGCTACAAGAGTCTGGGATGACAATACCCCACCCAAAGCACTGCCCTTAATTCTCACACATGTCACTGCTGCTATGTTGTTCTGTATAGGTGCTGGCACTTGCTTATTGGCTGCTGATGGCTTTGACTGCCAGTGCTAAATGCTTACCTTCAGATTCCCTGTACAAACACTCTAGAAAGGAAGATCAGTCATGCAGACCACCTCATATTGTCAGGAGAAGCAAGAACATTGTGTTAAGTAAAAATAAACCAAGCTAAAAAGGTACCAGCTTAGGCAAAACTGCTTAGGAAAACATTTTCATAACTTATGGACAAGGCAGGTCAATAAGCAGCACTGAAAAAATGGTGAATTTGTCTGTAGGTTGCAAAAGTTGTAAGTCACTGTTATCTTCTTCTGTCAGCTGTCAAAAGAATATGGTCCTGTCTTCAGTGTTCAGATGGGTCAAAGGAAAATAGTAGTGATCTCTGGGTATGAGACAGTGAAGGAAGCTCTCATAAACCAGGCAGATGCGTTTGCAGAGCGACCTAAAATCCCCATCTTTGAAGATCTGACCAGAGGAAATGGTAAGTTGGCTTTCTTTTTCCTAATCAAAAAAACCTTTGTTTCCTACTTAAAAAGCAGAGGATGTCACATCACTTAGAATGAGAGAAAATATAAGGCGCAGGAAATAGGGAGTGATAACCTCATTCACTTCAGTGGATCTGTTCAAATATTGAACCAAATTTTGTTTTTCTTTCTTTTGTTGAAGCCTGAACAAATTCAGGGAAACTTTTATTACCTCGGTCAGACAGAAATTAACCTGTTTCCAAACTTACTGCTATTGCTGCCTACATCATTTCTCTGCAAACTATTTACTCTAAATCTGCCACTGCCTTGGAATCTCCTCTGTGTGTCAGGAGTTGTTTTTGCTCACGGTGAAAACTGGAAAGTGATGCGAAGATTTACTCTCACAACCTTACGAGACTTTGGGATGGGAAAAAGAGCCATTGAGGACCGCATTGTGGAGGAGTATGGCTATCTGATAGACATCATCGGGTCACAAGAAGGTGGGTAGATGAGACGTTCGTCAGATCTCTATGGTTTTGTTCCAGTTATCACAGAATCATAGCATGGTTTCGTTTGGAAGGGACTTTTAAGCTCATCTAGTTCCAACCTCCCTGCTGTAGGAGGGGACACCTCCCACCAGACCAGTTTGCTCACAGCCCCATCCAGCCCAGGTACCCTGTGGTTTGACAATAACCTTCTCCAGTTCTTCAGCTGTTTACTTTGAGCTAAATCAATTTGATTAATTTGGCTCCTCTGTTCATTTGGTATGGTTATCTGACAATAAATGCTCGTCACTAATAATAAAAATAAATAAATAGTAATATTCATTGCTTAATTTATATAGTGTCTTCCCACAGTGTAATGTGTTCTTTTGTTCATTGTGTAGGAAAACCCTTTGATGCT